CATACATACATACATACATACATAACTTCACGCCTGTCTCCCATGGGGGTAGGCAGAGACTAAGGAACGCCAATTACTACGATTCTTACATACCTCTTTCGCTTCATTAACAGTCATCAATCTTTTTATGCATGCTCGTCGGTTAAGGGTACTTTTAATTTGGCCCTTCTCTAATACAATAGAATAAATAGAGAATTAAGTATTTATAGCCTCAATCACTTTCACTGTAAAAAACTATTACATAATTATGTACACACCTTAACATACGATCAAACCGAGGAATTACTTGAAGTAAGCAAATAATTTTATTATAGTTGACTTAGTTATTTTTGCTTACGTTTGTTTATGAAACTGTACACGCGCACTGTTATACTTAGAGACTAGCTTAATTTAATTTAGACATAACATTTTTAGTTTTATAAGCAATATTATTGTATTTTAAATATATTAGTACATTTTTAACCTGAAACACAGGCTTGGACCTAGTTCAGGTTTCACATATTTTTAGACTTTGTTTAGATATTAAGATTTATTTTGTAATCTGGCTTTTTACACCAAATAAACATTTTATTATTATTATTATTATAAAAATATATCGCCAATCTGGTCACTATATGTCCGTCTAGGGCGCCCTCTACCGACGGCCCCATTCATATCCGCTCTGTATACTTCTTTCGTTACTCTACTCTCATCCATCCTTTCTACATGTCCAAACCAGCGTAACATTCCCTTTTCAATCCTTGTCACTACATCATCTCTACTGAGATTTAAAAAACCCAGTTATACGTTCACCGTCCCGGGATTCGAACCCGAGACCCTTTGCCCGGCTGTCGCACTTGCGACCACTCGGCCAACGAGGCAGGCAACAATTTGTAATTCACATAAAGAGTGGTTCCGTCCGGTGATCGAAACCACGACACGTTCCACGGCAGCTAGTCGCCCAGTCACTCAACAATTGGTGTATTGGTTTAAAAGCGCTGATTTTCGGAACGATTCGTTCAAATTAAACAATTATTCATGTGCGAATTGATTATAATTTATTACGTCACGCTATGCTCCATAGTATCTGAGTAGCAGTTACAACCACCTGGGAATAGCTACAGTATATCTACCCTTTTTTTTAAGGGGGGAAAATCATCGAATAACTTCTCCCGCCTGTGTGAGGCGGGAGGGAGTGTCAGACTCTTACTGACTAAAAACCACGTCGTTCCTATTCCTGCGCTTCGAACCGGAGCCCCGGTAACCTGTCAAGTTCTGTCCGGTCCGATGGCTCTTTGAGGCGAGCGCGGAACGCGACGCGCTGTACGCGCCGTACGCGCTGGAGATCGTGCCGCGATACCCGACGCCCGGAGTGTCCTATGCGACGGCTGGGTTGTGAGGAGGCAGCGCTTCGCTGCCTCATGCGCCCCGCCCTGTCCTTCCGCCGGTCCCCCTCGTTCCGCATCATGACCCGGACTAGGGCCGGACGCGAGAGGTCGCCGTCGCCGAGCACGTCTCTAAGGGCACGGCGGTGCTCAGTGTCGTCGGGGCGTTCCTTGCAGTAATGACACCCGGGCGTTTCCTCCCGCCCCATCAGACATAGGTACCTCCCAAGAACTACCCTGCCACTAGCGTGTTCTCTTTTTCATTTCTTGATAAATATACTCGATATATTATAATTGGTAACGTGTGTCGTATAAAAGATAATTTAGTTACCTTTACAATAAGAGCGTTTTGTTGTAAAACGATTTTTTTTAAAGTTGTATAGGTTTCGATAAAATGAAACAGAACGTTAGTGGCACGGTTTTTTTGCTCGCGAGTGTGTATATGTAGAACAACGTTCCGCGCGCGCCTCAAGGAGCCATCAAACCACCACGGATGGGACCCAATAGGGCTGATGCCGATACGGAGCCGCGGAAAACGTAAAACTTGAAAACGGAGACTCGAAATGCAAGATTAGGAGCGTTGTGGTTTTTAGTCAATAAGAGTCTGACACTCCCTCCCGTCTCACCCAGGCGGGAGCAGCCATTCGATGATTTCCCCCCTTAAAAAAAGTGTATATAGAACAACGTAAGAGCTTAATTATTATATTTTCGTTTTACTCACGTAACTATTTGTAGCAGCTCGACAGTCGCCGCGTCGCGGGTCGCGGAATGCTGCCTCTAGCATGGCTTGAAACTAGTTGAGTTCCTTATCAAACAGTTACGTGAGAAATCTGAAAACATAATAATTAATTTAATATGTCCCACGAAACTTATAATATTTAAACAACGGAAGAGGTTTTATACGTTCATAATTTTGTTCCACAGGAGAAACCCCAAAGTGCCCCAGCTATTAGTTCTAGGGGATAATAGTATCTTGGCTACATCCAACTATGACCCTGTTAAGAAGACTGTAGTCATTGTCCATGGGTGGAAGAATACTCCTAGTGATGACTTTAATGTTCTGTTAATTGCTGGTAACTTACTTGGTTTGATAAAATAGAGGAATAGGTTAAGGGTGGGAGAGCCGTGCTTCGGCAGTACGGAGCCAGCTCGACCGGAGTGACACCACGGCCTTATACAAAATCAACGTGAAACAACGCTTGCGTGGTGTTTCCGAATCCCCAACAATCCTCAAATTCCTAATGAGACAAGCCCGCCACAACCTCCCAAAATCGCTGTAACTCCTATAAGCCAGGATCTACAGTTGATACAACCATGCAAACACCGGAACACTGAAGTCCGGCGCGTCTCAGGGACATGAATAACTGTCTTGGTTCCCGCAACGAAGTGAATCAGAAGATATTATAAGAGGAGAAGAAAAACGGCCAGCACTTGTAACGCTTCTGATGTTGTGTGTGTCCATGGGCGGCGCCGATTGCTTACCATCAGGTGATCGGTCTGCCCGTTTACCCAAAAAAAAATTGCAAATGTTTAGATTATTTGGTAAAATCACTTCTATCTTCATTTTTAGCATATCTGCAAGCTGAGGATATAAATATGATTAGTGTGGATTGGAGCATAGGAGCCGGTGCCTTATACCATGTGGCCATATTCAATAACGTCGTTACAGGTGAGGTCATCATCTTCATCACAGTCTGTTACTGGACTATAGGTTATCAGCTTAGGCCATACAGGTACCCCATACTGGCTATCCCGGTAACGCGAACCGTCGCGCATTAATTATTTATCGTCTAGCAAATCAGATAGCGCATTGGTCGTTTGGACGACTTTGTTTGAAGTCTTTTTTTAATCTGCAAGGATTCCTAGCATATTATATTATTAGAAGGCTAAGAAATCGCATAAATTTAATTAAATATCTGCAGAAGATTCGTCATAGACTTCTTTTTAAATATCTCACTCAGTAATCAAAAACTTATCACGACTTTATATTCGAGCTCGTTGATGGCCTATCCGTGTTGCGAGGAGTCGCGGAGAACCTAACGGGTAACCGGGGCTCCGGCTCGACGTGCAGGAGAAGGAACGGGGTGGTTTTTAGTCAGTAAGAGTCTGACACT